CCTGTTGGACCAGCCGAAGTGGGCCCGGGCATAGGACCGGACTACGGGGAAGCGAGGGGGTTAAACCCCCCAGGTGAGATACCCGTGATTCGAGGAAATGGAGAATACCTCGACGGCTACAGCAGTAGCCACATGAAGAGGGTAACGGTCAATGCTCCGCTCCTAGACGGAAAAAGCCGTAGCCACGGATTTGATTCGTGGCGAAAATCGTTCATCCAAGCTGCGAAGACCATCGACTTGGACGGGCAGTTTTTAGGAGATGCAGAGAGCAATATCCCCGTGGGCTACCCAAACTTGCCGACTTCCGAACTGCTCCGTAGGGGGTACACGAGAGCAGAAGTCCAACGGGGGCTTNTCCGAACTGCTCCGTAGGGGGTACACGAGAGCAGAAGTCCAACGGGGGCTTCAGGCGTTCCACTTTATCACTACTGCTGTGGTAAAAGAAGCTGACAAAGCAATTATCAGCAACTGTACGTCAGCAAAAGAGGTCCTTGCGGAAGTGGAAAAGGTCTACGATCCGGAGTCACAGGGGTCAAAACAGGCCTTGATGCGGAAGATGTTCGACTTTGTAATCCCCACACAGAANGTGGGCTACCCAAACTTGCCGACTTCCGAACTGCTCCGTAGGGGGCACACGAGAGCAGAAGTCCAACGGGGGCTTGAGGCGTTCCATTTCATCACTACTGCTGTGGCAAGAGAAGCTGACAAAGCAATCATCAGTAAACTGTGCGTCAGCAAAAGAGGTCCTCACGGAATTGGAAAAGGTCTACGATCCTGAGTCAAAGGGGTCAAAACAGGCCTTGATGCGGAAGATGTTCGACTTTGTAATCCCCACACAGAACAACAGCAACCCCATCGAGCACCTCTACTCACTCGAGCTGCTGTATGCCCGCCTGCGCGAAAAGGGGCTAAATGCTGAACAAGCCTTCGTTCTCGCCCACTTCGTTGGTTCCCTCCCACCCGAGTACCAACAAGCGAAGTTCCTGTTGGAGACAGCAACGGCGCTGGATAGGGCCGAGATCGTCAGGATCGTGAGCACGGTGCACGCGAGCCTCCC